AAATCTGGTTACCAGAGATACTTAGGTTAGAGAAAATGATTCAAAAACTAATGTGTGGTGAGACAGTCCTAGTGTGTCATCTGTGAGAACAATCAGGAACCCCGGCATGAAGTCATTCCAGTGTACTTTTTACTTGTTTATTTGGAAATTGTTTCTCTGGCATGAATCAGGAATAGAGGACAATGTTTTAGAAGGAAAGGATACTTTCCTGAGTCTTTGAAAAAGGTCTCAAATATGGCCAAAAGACAAAATGGCCACTTCAGCCGAAAGTTTTCAACACCCCACAGTAGCCCCCTCATAGTGAAGTTAGGGATAAAAGGATGCTGCAGTGGGTAGGTATTGATACTGAAGGGAAGTGCTGAGAAGGGAAGGGTGTGGTCTCTTTAAATGATACGGAGGGCAGCAGGGAAGTGCTGGGTAGAGGAGGGTGTGGTCCCTGGCTATGGCTCCACCCCAGGGCCTGTGCCCAAGGGCCTAGGTGAAGACAGGCATTTTTTCTTTCCTGCCCAAATGTTGCATTTCCAAAGACTACCCTGGCCTGCCACACCCCCATCCTGTGCCTATAAAACCCAGAGACTCTAGCAGGCAGTCACACACGCAGCTGGACGTCTAGAGGAGCACATCGGTGGGGGAACACATGGGCAGCTGGACGCCCGAGAGGAACTCACCGACAGGCTCTGGCGCGGGGCAGGCCATTCACCGGTAGAATGAGGCAGAGTTGGGCCGGGGCTGTCAGAAGAGAGCCTGAGCCACTGAGCTGCTCGACTCCAGGGGAAAACCTTCCCACTCCATCCCCTTCTCGCTTCCCCCATCTGCTGGTAGCTACCTCCACTCAATAAAACCTTGCACTCATTCTCCAAACCCAGATGTGATCAATTCTTTTTTTTTTTTTTTTTTTTTTGCCAATCAGTTTGAGCTTATAAGGTTGCTCAGGTTAGCCTTGAACTCATGACCTCACCTTCGCAAGCGCCACGACCTCCGGCCGGAGCCACTTTGGAGATTACCAAGGCGAGAACTCTGGGATCAAGAAAGCCCTCTGTCGTTGCGACAAGGTAGAGGGTCTGATTCAGCTCGTTAACACAAGCTCGCCTATAGACGGCAACTAAAAGGGCACATGAGCACACACCCACTGGGGCTTCAGAAGCTGGAAACATTCACCCCTAGACACTGTGCTAGAGGCTTCAGCAGCAGGGCACTCAAGAAGGGAGTTACTCCCCCATCACATGCCCTGAAGGGGGACAAGGGAACTTTTCCCACTTCACCACTGCTTGTGGCACCAATTATTTCAATTTCTGAGGAGACTACTCCCTTGATGAAAACGTGTATTGTTAACATCTATATAATATATAGAGAAGGACGCTGGCTAGGGAGTCAAAGAGATACACACCTGTATAAATTTGGGCAAAAAAAGCTGTCTCATTTCTCACCTATAAAATGAGCCTCATGATCCTACCCCATTGGATTACTGCAAGGCTGAAATGTGACAAGATGTGAAAAATATTCAGCACAAGGCCTAAGGACATAATCAAAATTACTATCAGTGAGGAGGAGGACTTGCCAAGGAATGTGTACAGTACTGAAATACCTTATGTACTATGAGTAGAGGAAAAGGCTGCTTCATTTTTCAGAACCTGTTAAGAGAAAAAAATGAGAAGAAATCCTAGTTGTTCAACCAGGATGTTTCGCTGTATTCAGAAATTGCTTAATCTCTTTGAGCCTTGGTTTCCTTCTCAATAAAATGGGGCTCATAAGACCTACTTCATAGGGTGTCTATGACATTTAAATGAGTTAGCAGATATAAAGCAGATAGTACAGTCCCTGGCTCAAAATAAGAAGCTTTATTATTACTGTTCTTGGCTTTTTAACTCACTCTCTAATGATCTCACTGGGCTTTAATCAGAATAGTAGTGAAGAAATCCCTGTTTAAAAGAAAGGGAGAAAAAAAAACCAACTCCAGTCGTTTACTAATGATTTTTTCCAATGCCAAATAGAACAAATCTGACTCTTGTTTTCTAGTGAACATATTCACAATTATTGAACAGTATCTATTCCAGCTCCTCGCCAACCTGTGATAAGTATAACATTTTCATGGTCATCAAAAATCTTGCAGAGCTTAGGCACAGGCCAGAGCAACGGCTATGCAAGCAACATTTTAGCACATTTTACAGAGTGGATCCGGATTCCAGAATGCTGAGAGGGGAGAGAAAGAGGCCTCCAGAACAGCTGTTTACTTTTCCATTTTCTAAAAACAAACAGCAACAGTGACAAGAACAATCCACAAACATTTAGACTAGCAAAGGAAAAATACTACCTTTTCAAAAATGATAGATAAATCAGGAAATCCCTTTGTCATATTTTAGTTTAAAATTAAAAATAGAAGAATTTCTGTAACTTCCACTCAATTTCTGTGAACCTTAAAATGTTGTAAAAAATAAAGTCTATTTTTTTTAATAGAGGAGAACTGGATCCATTTGGGCATATTTTCAAAAGGAAAATAGAATTTTAACGTACCTTATTTTTAAATTTTGCACCAGGTGAAATTGTATAGAAATGCATTTAACAATAAATAGATACCTTTAAAACTAATAACATTTGAAGAGTACTTGCATAGTTAATATTTCACTTTGTCCTCATTGCAATCCCGTGAAACAGCTATGGTGAGTTTATTATTCCCCTATCTTTACATAAATGGGACTTGGAGAGATTAATAATAGGACCAAGATAACAGCAAGTTGTCACAATAGTCAAAATCCCCATTCACATCTCCTCACTTTTTCCTCCAGCGCATCACAGTGCCTTTCACACAGAAGGAATATGATATAAGGAATTGGCTACAAAGACACTGGAAAGGCTGGAGAGGAAAAATAGGAGAAGAAACACAAGTAGAAAGTGGTGTGTATTCTTGTGGTTAAAATTATTGGAAGGAGAAAAGAAGAATGAGACTGAAAGAGAGGACGAGATGTTCTTAGAGTCTAGTGAGAGGTCTTGGTGCCAATTCACCATCCAAATATATGGTTTCTCAGGGAAACTTAATACCCACATCTTGTGACATTGAACCTAGCCTTTTTATTGATTTTCGTCTTAGAATAAAATACAGAAAAAGAAAAAATGACTTTAAAAAAACAGCATAGCAACAGAGAGCATGCAAGATTTATAAGGCATTCCTGAGAACTAGAATCATCCATGGCCTCCTGTTTTGATCTGGTGCTGCAGTCCCATTAGCTCCCTGAGCCAGCTGTGGCAGGCCAAAGCTAGGAAGGAGGACTAGGGCCCACTGAGGTACATTGGGAAAGTGGGGCTCTCTGGATGTATCTTGTTTCAGGAGCTCCTTGATCTAGGAACACTGCAGTGTTTGATGAAGGCCTGAATGCTCTTAGGCCTTCAACAGTAAGGCCTTGAACCTGGAAAACTGATGTTAAGACCCATAATATTCCTGGGTATCAACCGTATACTCAGGCACAAACGGAAATAAAAATTGTAGTCATGATATCAAATGACTGGGTGTCTCACAATTAGAATTCATATTTATCGACTTCACTATTTGCCAAATATTTTGCTAAGTGATTTTATGTACAATCTCATTCAGTCCTCACCAAAACCTTATGTGGTGGTTATTTTTATTATTCCCATTTTAAAGATGGGACATTGAAGTTAAGAGGTTAAATGCCTTTCCCAAAGTCACACAACTAGTAGAATGGGGACCTGTGACATGAGCCCAGACAGGTTGACAGTAGGGCACACTCATAACCAGTGCCATTTTCCCTTTCTGGCTTCTCTTCCCTCCCTCTCTCCCTCCCTCCCTTTCTTTCTTTATTCTTTTTCTTTCTTCTCTTTCTCTCTTTCCTTCTTTCTCTCTCTCTTTCTTTCTTTCTCTCTTTTTCTCTTTCCCTCTTTCTCTCTTTCTCAGGGTCTCTAGGGTGCAATGGTACCATCATGGCTCAACCTTCCAGGCTCAAGCAATCATCTTCCCGCCTCAACACAACACACACCACCCCGACAACCCAACCAGCAGCTTGGACTACAAGAACATGCTCCCAGGACTGGCTAATTTTTATATTTTTTGTAAAGGCAGGATTTCAGTATATCGTCCAGACTGGTCCCGAACCCCTAGGCTCAAGTAATCCACTCGTCTTGGCCTCCTCAAGTGTTAGGGTTACAGGCGTGAGCCACCACACCCAGACCAGTGCCATTTTCTTTCACTCATTGGAAGGGTGACTTTTCCTTCCTAATTCCTATTCTAAACCACTCAGTCCTGCTGGGCATGAAATACCCACTGATGTTTAGCCAAGGAAAGTCATAAAGAATATAAACCACAATTTGCTTTCCAAATATATTATACTCATAGATATCCCATCAATTACAGTTCTTTATACCAAGACATAGGTCACTTTTTTTCCTCACACTGTGCACTGTTCTTTCCCAAAAGGTATATGGGACATAACTGGCATGACTGATTCATGCAGCAACTACCTTTTTAAATATTTTTTAATTGTTGTTGCTGTTTTCCTCCTGGAGGAACTCAGTCCTAAAGCAACATTAGAGCTCTAACCTAGATGTTTGAATTAGGGAATTTAAAATGTCATTTTATAAATGCACCTAGGGTCAATTCAGTCTTTAAAAAGTAGACGCCAACAGTAAGAGTAAATAAAGGGGAAGATGGAACGCCAAGCTGGAATCTGAGGATGTGAACATTTTCAACCGGCTTCATGGAGTCCTGTTTTATCTTTTATTTTTAAAATATGTATGTTCATTTGTGTGGAATATTTAAACAATAATACATTTCTTAAACTTCTGTTAATACAAAGGCATTTCTATCTCCTATCCAAGACCATTACAACAGCAATTTACATTGTGTTATTTCAATGAATTCATCAGCCATGAATTATTAATTTTTCTAGGCATAAATAATAGACATAAATTTGGAGAAATCCTATCAGAAAAGAAAAAAGAAATTTAATAAAGGGAACATGCCATTTTCTACTTAATATAGGACATTTACCAAAACAAGATAAGCATGCCAACCAGAATTTCAACACTTTCTAGGTGTTAGAAACGTTCACCTTTACTGCTAATGTGTAAGTCCTCTTCTTTCACCTCCTAAGCTCATGCCAAGCCCGAGAGTTACACTGCAGTGATTGGGAGCCACTATCCTGGCCTCGAAAGGTAATCACCCTCTGCATAGCTAAGCACTTGGCACAGCCATGGATTCAGGAGCACCAAAGAGCTCTGAAAAAGTTATATTTTAATTACTGCTTTTTTAAACATATGCTTAAATTGCATTTTCCAGCTAAGGAGTCGTTTCAACTATCATCTATATCTCACTCACAAAGGAAGGTTCTCAGGCCAACTTGGCAGCTTTGAGCAATTCGGCTGATCTGGAAATCTTTCAGCTTCCCAGTTAGCATCCTTCATGTTCAAATCCAGGTGCCAAAACTTTTACTGAGCGACAGAACTACTGCTTAAGTGCCTCTCTCACCTGCTACTGTCACTGAGATATAACTACCACCATGCTTAGAGCTACTTCAGGAAAAGGATTGTCAAGCCATATGTTACAAAGTGACTGCTACATGTCCCTTAGCTGTTTCAGTCAGTACAACTGTGAGATTTCTCACCCAGCAGCAGCTTTGAGCCCATTAGATGGATCAGTTCAACCAGGGATTTAGCTCAGGACTAACAGCACATTAGGATAATCCATATGCCTAGAGTGACCCACACACTCTACTGGGATAGTCCTGCTCTATGCGTATTGTCAAAATACAATTATTAATATATTCACCTCCGCTTTGAAAGTTGTACCAGTTTAGATAACTATTATATATGGTCACTTGGACAATACCTATTAAAGACCAAGAGACCGGGATGAGATATGTCTTAAAGCAAATACCAACGATAATAGGCTTCAAAGCTTACCTCATTTCCCTCCTGGCAGTTGCAAGAAATTCCACTGTTAAATCTTCAAACCATAATGTTTTGTACTTTAGTACTTATCAAAGTATCTGAAACAAAATATTTATCCATTTTGTGAAATGGAACATGTCAAATCACAAAGCATATTGCTCATTCATACAATCAAAAAGGTACTTATTGTATCTCTGCTCTTTGCAGGCATTGCGCTGGAAGCTAGGGATCTACAATGAAGCAGGTATATTTACTGTCCTGAAGGAGGTAACAGGCTCATGGGACAGACTGATTTAAGATGCAGTTTCAGTGAGATCAGTGGTATAAATCTCACGTACTGTAGGAGTACACAGAAGGGCCAACTCATTCAGCCTTGAGAAATCTAGGGAGACTTCTTGGAAAATATGACATACAACTAAAGGACATAAAATAAGATAGAGTAAGGTTATTTTCTACATTTTATGTGCAGAGACACATTAAGAGATCTGAAAGTCTTCAGCATGACTTGAGTGAGGATGGAAGGAGTGAGTGATAAGGCTGGCAGTGGGAGGAAGAGGAGCGCAGGGAACGTTACATATGCCACATTAAGAAGATGGACTTTATCCTGGGGTCATGGGGAACCAGAACAAGGTTTTATATAGAAAAGTGACTTGACCAGATTTGATCTTAGGGTGGTATCTCTGGCTACGATATCACCACTGTAGGCAGTATTTTTTGCTCTTATGCAAAGAAGAGGACATCACTTTTGTGTTTTATTTGAATGCTCTGTGAAGAATAAAAATTCTCCTTCATCAAGTCAACCATGACTCAGCAGTGAGATACTCTGGGTTCAGTTTCAAGTTCCAGGGCTTAATTTTCTGGTGCCTTTAGCCAAACCACACTAGGCTGACCTGTACCTCAATTTCCTGGTCTGTAAAATATGGACTGTTGTAGTCACCTTTCACATAGGGTGATGTGAGGAACCACTAATGAGAAGCAGCCAACTTAGAAAAAAAGTATTACAGAATGCTTAATAAGTCCAAATAGCCAGTAAAGATTAAATGTGTGTGTTCAAGTGTTCGAGTGTGCAGTAGAAGTGTTTCAACTATACGATTTAATGATGTGAAGGCTCATTTTCAACAGGGCTGTCTGTACCAGCTTCAGTCTGAGGCTGGGGTGGCAGCCTGCTCACCAATTAAGAGCGGATGACAATCTGAAACCATCCCTGCTTAAAAGCTTGTCCCTGCTCTGAGACTTGGACTCCCGTTTCCAAAAACCCTTCTCTAAATCTGCTGAGTCCCGCCCACAACTTATTAAACTACTTATTACCACTGAGTCTCTCCAACCCCTCTTCAGATGTTTCAAGGGACCAAACATTTAATTTTAAAAAACTTACCAATAATAATAGCCATAATGTATTGAGAGCTGGCTATATGCAATGCACTGTTCTGAGTATTTTGCAAGCATTTGCTCATTAGTTTTTCACAACAGAAAGTTATAATTTTTCCCCATTATATTTTTTGTCTGAATACTTTAGAGGAGATTAAGTCCGCCCATCCAGAAAGCAACAGAACTTGAATTATAACCCAGGCTTGTAAAAGTCTAGGTTTATTCTCATAACCTCTGTACTGCTCTGCTAAAAACTATTAAAAGGCCTCTGGCACTGCCATCTTCTTGCTGGTATGTTCCCACTCCTACCCATCCCTGTGGCTCATATCTTCACTGGCATGTGAAGTTGCTGTTTCCAGAATGTGAGTCAGTCAAGATAGAAAAGTTAATTTATTTTAGTGAATATGTGTCAGTGACACTATTTTTAAAAAGTACATCATGACAATTTGCACATCACATAAAATCTCTTCATTGGGATGAACCAATATGACCCTGAAAGGGAATGCATGGTCTGTCTCACTGTCCGTGTTCCCTCAAGAGTACCTCTCAGCAGTTGATGGTTCACATCCGCATATTCAACAATGTAAGAAAACTTCAGCTACTTTTCTAAGAAATGGATCCAACAATGGAGAATAGAAATATTACTTAGGTAAGTTCCTTTGGGGCATAGATTGGTAAATCCTATCATTCCTCCTTGCCATATTACACATCAAAAAAAAAATTGATTGCGATGATTGTATTACCAAATAGTACTTTTTATAAAGAGCATGCCAACATTTAAAACAGAGCTTCATGCAAGTTCTCCAACTGTACTTCAGGAATTTCAGATATGATTTAAATTCATTTTTAAATCAATTTCTTAAATTATTTTAAGACTTATTTTAATTAATTATACCTAATATATTCAATTACAAATAATTATTAATGTATCAAATTATTTAAGACTTATCTTTAAGACTTCTAAAATATTCAAAACTGAATCAAATCAAAATTTAAATTCAATTTATTAAATCTAAATTTAAATTAAATTAATTCAAAATTAAAAGCATATTCAAATTTATACACTGCCCCACCACACACACACACACCCAGGCTAAACTCCAGGCTTATGTATCCAGCTGCCTACTTCATATCCATCTTATGTACAATGTGTCCAAAATGAAAGTCTTAATCTTCCTCACCCCTGCCTCCTAAACTTGTCTTTTCTGCAATCTTCCACAACTCCTTATGGGCAACTCTCTCTTGCCCATGTCTAGCATCTTTCTTGACTGATCTCTTCCCTCACATCTCAGACCCGAATCTAGCATCAAATGACCACTTCTACTGACCTCTACTGCCTTCACTCTATGTGAGTTACCATCATCTCTCACTCCAATAATTTCCTAATTAATCTTCCTTCGTCTGACTTTTTACTGTGATAGTCCATTCTCAACCCAGCAGTCAAAATAATTCTTTTAAAACGAAGTCAGATCTTGTTTCTCAGATCACATCTCTCAAAATATTTCAATAGGGAGTTGTCTTCTGAGAAAGCTAAAGTCCTTTCTGTGACCTACAAGACCTGGCCCACCACTATCCCTTATGCCTTGGTGAATTCATCTTCCAGGACTAGCCCATCTAGTGGACTCTACCCCAACCACACAGCTCTTCTGGCTGTTGCTCAGACACCCAAGGCATGTTGCTGCCTTGGGGATTTTGCACTTTGGTTAGTCTCTGCCTGCTCTTCCCCAGAAAGCGGGTTTCTCTCACCTGTTTGGGGTCTTTGGTCAGCGAGGCCTACCCAAACCATGCTATTTAAAATTGCAATCTCCCGCCTCACACTCAGTACGTAAGAGATTCTAAATCTATTCTCTGCACTGTTTTTTCTTCACAACACCACTACCTGATGGACTATATATTTAATATGTACTTGTTCAATGTCTGCCTCCTCAACTAGAATTTAAGCTCCATGAGATAGGGATGTAGATTTCTCTATTTCTACTGCTCTACTTCCCAGTATAGGATATGAGCATTGAGCAAATATTTGTAGATGAGGCCAGGTATGATGCAATCCCTGCACTTTGGGAAGCCAAGGTGGGAGGACAACTTAAGCTCAGGACTTCAAGATCAACCTAAGAAACATGGTGAGACCCCATTTCTACAAAAAGAAAAAAGGAAGTTGGCCAGCATGGTGGCATATACCTGTAGTCCCAGCTAACTGGCAGGCTGAGGTGGGAGGATTGCTTGAGCACATCAGGTCGAGACTGTAATGAGCTGTGATTAACCACTGCACTCCAGCCTGATGACAGAGTGAGATCCTGTCTCAAAAAAAAAAAAAAAAAAGAGGGAACCAAAAACAAAGGGAAAAAAAAGGAATGTCAGATGTACAGTTGTAAGTTACATACTGCGTCAAATAGCTAGAATCTCTGTACCAAACCCCAGACTGAATTTTTGAGAGGATGGGTTTGGGGTCCTCAAAGGAAGAGGGTACTTGCCTTTCATTTCCTAATTGGGCCCACCTGTCTCCAAACCCAGCAGAAGCAGGAGCAGGAAGGTAAGCTACAAGCAATCTGGCAGAGGGGCCTGGAAAAGCCCTCACACATTTATCATGATGCTGAAGTGGTCAGTTCAACAGATTGTTTCCCATGTGCCACAGAGGGCAGGATGACCTGAAGAGCAGGAAGGTAGAAAATAGACAGAAGGTGAGTCTAGAGAGGCTGTATAGGCAGCACTATAAGGATGTGATGTGGGTGAACAAGAAACCACTGTTCAGATAAGGCCGTCATATCTCAGGGGAATCAACATGAATGGTTGATGATGGGAAACCAAATGCCCCACCCTGTCTGGACACAACATAGCACCTAGGAGAAACAGACAGAACCCCATGGAGAGGAGAGGAGACCCTGAATTGCTTGAAACTTACTTCAGGCCTCCTGGGGTAACAAGGGACTTAAAATACAAAATAAGTCCAGCTAGAGGATAACAATGATTTTTTTTTTTCTCGGGATGGATTCTTGCTCTGTCACCTAGGCTGGAGTGCAGTGGTGCAATCTCAACTCACTGCAACCTCCGCCTCCTGAGTTCAAGCAATTCTCCTGCCTCAGCCTCTTGAATAGCTGGGATTACAGGCACATGCCACCATGCTTGGCTAATTTTTTTTTTTGTATTTTTAGTAGACATGAGGTTTAACCATGTTAGACAGGCTGGTCTTGAACTCGTGACCGCGTGATCTGCCCACCTCAGCCTCCCAAAGTGCTGGGATTACAGGCGTAAGCTACCGTGCCTGGCCAAGAATAGCAAAGTTATTTTTATACCACTTTATCATATGGAAAGTCTCATATAGGCTATGTATAAATATTTTTGCGTCTATTGAATGTCTGGGTCTTTTTTTAATCAACAATGAACATGAGCAACTCATCTGCTCTAAAATTATTTGTGACTGAATTTCTAAATAAAATTTTTCTACTACCCATCTTTCAGTCTTCTAGCTCAGTTTATTTAAGGTGTATCTTAAGAATTGCAAGGTGATTTTTCTTTTTTAAGTCACAGTCTGCAACTACTTATCTGTGTGCACCAGGATTTTCTTGATATGTTGTACCCAAAATAAAATGTAGATATGAGCTGGATGCTGACGTGTGCATGAGACCAGCACTGTCATCTAACTCCTGGTTGAAGTATTTATGTTCATCCAAACAGGTCCATGGTTCTCATCAATTTACTTTTTAACAATTTGTATACATTTAGTTTTTAAAAA